TACTGCATCTGGGACCAAATGCAAAACATTTTATGCTGCTACCTGAGGACAATCCATGTGGTTTTCCCTGTGTCTTAGTCCGGTAAGCGTGGTGAGCTGGGAGCCAAAGGAGTTGTAGGACCACAGGGAGAGACCGGAGCCAGAGGCGCACCTGGAAAACCAGGACCGATGGGATTCCAAGGAGAGCAAGGTTTTCCAGGGGTCTCTGGAAAGACTGGTGTTCCTGTAAGCACCTGCCAGACGATACTGATGTTGGTACTGTGCTGTAAACACAGAATATGTCTCAGGAGTGCTGTTGTGATTATGTTGCAGGGCAAACTGTCTAGTGAGCAGCACATCAGAGAACTGTGTAGCTCGATGATCGATGGTAAGACCTTTGTTCACCCATAAACGGCATTTATTGATGCAGCTTCACGATGCAGCCTGTAGTGTATTGCTGGTGTTGATCTCAGATCAGATGGCTCAGCTCGCTGCTAACCTGAGAAGACCTCTGGCTCCTGGTGCCGTGGGACGGCCTGGACCAGCCGGGCCTCCAGGGAAGCAAGGAGAGGTTGGATCCATCGGTCACCCTGGAGCCCTTGGCCCGCCGGGTTACAGAGGACTGCCGGGTGATCTCGGTGATCCTGGTCCTCGAGGTGAGAGACGGGTCATGTTGTGCTATTGTATTAAACAAATGGCTAAAAGTGTGCAGTGCAATGTCATTAAGGTTGCATTATAGTTAGTTAATGCAGTGTATTTGTTAAGAGTATATATTAATCTTTGTTTATGTTAGTTCAATTCAACTGTTCATTGTTAGCTCAGGTCCATTAAATAATATCAAGACACAACTTTTGATTTTGGTTCATGTTAAAATTACTATTGCATTTTACATAAATGCTATAGAATGACTTTTTATTGTTAGTTCATGTTAACTAATGGTATTAAACAGAACCTTATTATAAAGTGCTACCCATATTTCCTCAGGACAGGCTTTATCTGCATCTATCCACCTTATTTTTCAGTGTGGAAGTAAGCCGTTTTCTGTCAATGTGCGAGACTTCCGGTTCATTAACTGCTGTAGGGAAATAACGAGAAGAATAACAAAGTGCAGTAAACGGTTTGCACTACAAACCAGTGTGTTCATAATTAAGATAATACATTAATAATATGGTAAGACACCAGTTTGAAATATCAAGCCGCAAAACAAGGTGCTTTGTACGGCTAAAAATAGCTGGAAGCGGGTGACACCGGAAGCCAGACATTAAATTTACTCTTACGGGAAAAATAAGGTGGATAGAATATAACACGAGTGTGCTTTCAAGCAGAGTATAAGTTTTTTTTTACAATTGCAAAGACACATTTTTCAGCACTTGGGTAACTCTTTCAAAACTCTTCACACAGTTCTCCCTACCAAACTTTAGCTTGGCACAGCAGTACATTTCTCATCCCGAATGCAAAACGACCAACAAAAAAACAGAAAAAAATGTTTTTTGCAATGATTTCCAAGTTTCCTCATTTGTATAGGCCCATGTAGTTTTGGTGATGTTTGAAAGATTTGATCATTGAGTGTTTTGTGTCAAAGCAGTGATAGTGAGCACAGCAGCAGTCTGTGTGTATCATTTGTGTGAAGAGTTTTGAAAGTGACCAGAGTATTGAGAAATGGCTGTAAAAAACCTTCTCACAGCTGTGAAAAATATTTGCTGTTACGTGTATGAATCCAGGAAGAATGTTTTATCCTAATATGAATTCATAAACCACATTCCAGAATGAATTTGTATGTATCTTAATTCTGCAGGGGACGTGGGCGAGCCAGGTGACAAGGGGCCTGTGGGTAAAGCCATCGAAGGGCCCGCTGGAGACCAGGGGGACCCGGGTAAGTACAGGCTGTTCATAAGCACATTAAGTGTGCCCCAGTCGGACACATTATCAGTGCAGCTTGTCAATGTAAAGTAGCTTAAGAAAAATAAAAACTTGTTTAACACACAGCCTTGCTGTGGTACACTGCCAAATATTAACTTAAAAAACACCCATTTCCTAAAGTATTAGCATGCCAAAAAAAAGTTAGTTGGGCCAGATGTGGCAGAACTCTTCTAAGAGCAACCTGGGATCGATTCCCAAGAACAGGCCGGTGGATGTTTCTGACTTGATTAACTATACTGTACAGCTCAAACTAAAGGAAAGATAAGCATATGAGCAACCAATCATAAAACGATTATATGCAGAGCTGGGTAGTAATTGATTACATGTAATCTGGATTATGTAATCTGATTCCAAATATTAAAATACTTGTAAATTGATTAAATTATATTTCAAAATCCTCAGAATCAAGACTACAGTTACTTTTTTGATTACATGATTACATATTATTCACACAATAGCAATTAATGCTTCATAATTTATTGATTCTCCATAATTCCTCTTTTAAATCTTCCTTTCTAAAATAGCCTACCACTTACATACACTCAGAAGGTCTGTGGACATTCACACAGAGATCAGTCTTTAGTCAGGTGGCTACATTTGAGCACTGGATTTACAAAAATAATTTCAGGTTTAAGAAGCGTTTCAGCATTGCATCAACTTCTGATGAACACATTTTTACTTGAATGATCACTCAGTGGGTTAACCGTGCATTACTAGGTCTTTGGAAGGCTTTTGTCTTTCAAACACATTCAAATGCAAACTTCACCTTATTTCTTATTTACATGTAATGCAGGGATTCCCAAACTTGTTTGTCATCTGATCCTTTCACCTGATATATTTACTTGAAGTACCCCTGAGATTTTAAATATTTTAATTACCTATCACACAGTTCTCTGGCATTGGTTAATGGTCACATGACATGCATGCAAACAAATGATATATTCATTTTTTTTTTGTTTTATTTTAAAATTACTTAATTTTACACCATTGTGATTTACACTGAACAAAATAAACGCAACACTTTGTTTTTGCCCTCATTTTTCATGAGCTGAACTCAAAGATCTAAGACTTTTTCTATGTACACAAAAGGCCTATTTCTCTCAAATATTGTTCACAAATCTGTCTAAATCTGTGTTAGTGAGCACTTCTCCTTTGCTGAGATAATCCATCCACCTCACAGGTGTGGCATATCAAGATGCTGATTAGACAGCATGATTATTGCACAGGTGTGCCTTTGGCTGGCCACAATAAAAGGCCACTCTAAAATGTGCAGTTTTATCACACAGCACAATGCCACAGATGTCGCAAGTTTTGAGGGAGCGTGCAATTGCCATGCTGACTGCAGGAATGTCCACCAGAGTTGTTGCCCGTGAACTGAATGTTAATTTCTCTTCACGGATGAATCCCGGTTTTCACTGTACAGGGCAGATGGCAGACAGCGTGTATGGCATCGTGTGGGTGAGCGGTTTGCTGATGTCAACGTTGTGGATCGAGTGGTCCATGGTGGCGGTGGGGTTATGGTATGGGCAGGCGTATGTTATGGACAATGGGCACAGGTTGCTGTCTAATCAGCATCTTGATATGCCACACCTGTGAGGTGGATGGATTATCTCGGCATTTGTGAACAATATTTGAGAGAAATAGGCCTTTTGTGTACATAGAAAAAGTCTTAGATCTTTGAGTTCATGAAAAATGGGGGCAAAAACAAGTGTTGCATTTTGTTCAATGTAATTATTAGCTTTTCATTAAACTCACGAACCTGTTTGGGAAACCTTGAAGTAATGTAATGTTTAATGCACTTCATGTTGGAATATATTTTCTTACTCTTTGTATTTTTATATCAATATGGTACAAGATTGCCCTGTTTAAATTAATGTGATAAGTTATGTCAAAAGTGGTCTGATTATATTACCTAAAATGTGTACTGCAGTGGATTACGTTACTAACTACAATTTAATTAGCATAATTTAGAATCAGTAACGGTTTGCAAACGTAAGTAATCTACCCAGCTCTGATGATATGTGACCACACTGGTTCTGTCAGGCTACTTAGACAATCACAACACATCTATTCCCCTTCAGCTAAAGCTGATTTCTTTCTGTCGTACATCATTGTGATTCTTCGTCTCGTGGCCTCCAGGTCTGCCCGGCGTGCATGGCATCGTCAAAGACGGCCGTGACGGAGCGCCTGGAGATCCAGGAGAGCCAGGAGAAGCAGGGAGAGCCGGAAGACTGGGTCACCAGGGATCACCCGGCATCTGTGACACTTCAGCGTGCCAAGGAGCCGCAGTTCACGGGAAGTCCTCCAACCCCAAAAACCATTAACAGGAGAACCAGCAGGAAACGCAACTGAAGAGGTGTCAGAGCCGAATAAACACTGAGCATCAGAGCGGAGCAGCTGTGAACCCCAACATGTGTACATACAGCAAAAGACTAATGCATCGCGCCGTGAAACTAGCTGATGTGAATGCAATAATTCAGTACTTGTATTAGAAGTCTTCTTGTACAGCACCCTTTAAAAGTGTAATGGAGTACAACTTTGAGCCTCATGGGGGTGCCTCAAAACCTGACCTCGACAACAGCAAAAACAAACAACACTGGAGGCTTGTTTGAGGCATCAAGAAATTAAACCAAATATTGGATGTATTACTGCAAATTGATTTTCTTTGCCATTTTATTCTTACGTTTACATTTAGTTTCTAAATGTTTAACATTGAAAGTCACTGTTTGAGGAACAAACTTCAAGCATCGATGCTTCAGACACACTTACTGTAAAATATGTCGTTGGCCATCTGTGGGCTTTATCAACTTTTATCCACTAGATAATGGTGCTGTAAAACTATTAAATGACTTTAAATACTATTTATTATTTCTGAGTTACTGTTGTGTGTACAGTGAGTTTCTACAGCATGGTATTGTAAGAAAAACTGAATAAAGCCACTTTTCAGTAAAGTATTTCTCTGAACGTTCATTAGTACACTAATAATAAATACATTAAATGTAAAATAACATATATTGAGACAACAAACGGTCATGCCTTTCAAACCAACAAGGCATAAAAACACAAACAAAAATACACAGCACAACTTCTCTAAATGTGTGAACTATATTACAGTAGGGTTTGCTCTGCAGACGTGACGGTTTGAAATAAAATGAACAGTGGGTTGAGCCTCGGTCTACACTCGAGCTGGTCTAAGACAACAAACGCTCAGGGTCTTCTGGACACGGGCTAGTGGAAGAGAGGAACTAGCATCATGCAATAAACCCACGCAGAAAACATTCATGTCAAACTACAGGCACACATTCACAACGCTGCAGCAGAGAACAGGAAGTCAGCTGTGCGAGGATGAGTCCACAGGCTCTGTCGTGTTTCTATAGGGTTCGAGGAGATGTGCCACTGAAACACAGCTAGGCTTCAACCGCAGTCCAGTCTTGCCACAGAAAGTGCTCTGGAAATCCTGAAACAGAGTGGATTTATGAGTAATGATGGTCAGAGTACTTCAGGAAGAGTTTCCTCACTCCATACACTCTGTATCTATCACTCTTAGAGCGCTTCATGGTTTGTATCGATCGAAGTAATAGCCATAATATTTCAGATGCCTTCAGCCTCACTTTGTAATCCGTTTCTGGTGCTTAAGACTGCATTTTAAAGCCACCTCATTAGAAGCGTCTTCAAATAAGACTTTTCTACACTATTTAAGAAAATTGAAGACTTTTTGCAGCCTTCGGTTTAAAAAAGTAAACTGGAGATATCTGATCCTCCTTTAGAATCGATGCATCAAATTAAAAAAATTACATTTTGATAAACGGAAACTAAAATGTAAAGCGACAAACAAAAATCCCTGATATTGTATGACTATGAAAACGGAGAACCTGCTTGAGTCGGTCTCCATGTATTTCCTGGATGTATTTGAGGAAGGCCGTGGTCCACTGCAGTGTGGTGGCTTTATCGGTGTCAGCGTAACAGAACGGCACCAGCAGGTTTAACTCGTCACAGCACAGACGGATCCTTCTCCTGAGGTCAACCGGAAACATGCTTCATGTAATCTCTGCAGTGAGCAGTACAGCTTAAACAATAAGTCTGCAGAGCCCACCTGCGATCGCGCTCCTTTCTGTTGTGTACTTCTTTGCGCTGAGTTCGGTCCATGAGAGGTCTTGTCCTGCAACGTTTAGTCCCGCACATACCGGCGTACGGCTTCCAGTTCTCTGAGTCCTGCATGATATTAGATGAGCTGAGAGGCCTTGTGCGGACGCGCTTGATGGGGTGCGCAGCTTTATCCACCCCCTCATCTGCAGCGAGAAGAGAAACAAACCAATCCAAACACATCTCTGCTTTTCATGCTTTAAAACAGTATACAACAAGCAGGCTTTATTCAGCCCAGTGGAAAGCATGTTTGTAATAGGGATATAAGAATAAATATCTAACACAATCCCTGTGCCAGTCACCAGATGAGGACTGTGAAAGAGTCTTGCAGGTTTGGAACCACATGAGGGTGAGTTTCATTTTTGGGTGAACTATCTCTTTAAGGTTGCAGCTGGACTGGTTATGAATTCATTATGAATGAGTGAATGCATTCTGTATCTGTGTGTCCATGCTGCTGGTTATGTCCTGTGCATCGACACTCTCATAGGTGCTGAATGCTGTGAATGCTGTCGCAATTACAACATTAAAAACCAGGTCCCTAATTAACTACAAGTTACGCATCATCATAATCAATCATTGTTTACATTATCGATCATTGCGAAATATTTGCATATCCCTAGTTATAGCGATATGCATTGTATGTACCTAGCATTATTGCTTAATATTGGAAACAACCCCACAAATCCATTAGATGTCATCTCTTTGGGGATTTAAGACAAGTTATTTACAATGATTTTTATGGAATTCAGCATTCTTTTCAGGAATTCAAATTCAATATTAAGAAAAAAGAGAGCAGAGTTTCAGACGATTTTCCTCCTTAATAATTTTTCATGAATCTGGCTCTTGGTGCAAAAGGTTTGAATGTGCGCCAATTAGAGCCCGACCGATATGGGTTTTTTTGGGGCCGATACCGATATTAGGAAGTAAAAAAGGCTGATATCGATATATCGGCCGATATTCTTTGTGTATATTATAGTACAGTATTAGTCAAAAGTTTGGGCACTTTCCCGTTCATGTGTCCAAACATTTGACTGGTACTATATATAGAATACAGTATATACATAAACAAAATATATATACATAAACACATTTTTTGCAATGATCACTCAAATGTGGTGATCAAACACTAATAATGGTGACAGAGATATGTAAGGGCATTTAACAATTTAACAATAAACTTGCGATGAGTGCGATGCACAAAGTAAAGGGGTGTTAGTTGTAACACCTGGTTTGAATATTTATTTTACTATAGTAACATTTAAATTCTGGCTTAAGTACATTTTTTTTATCTCTGTTTTTATTATTCATTTAAAATGAGACAAATCTGCTATTATTTTAATCTCCAATCTGTTATTTACCAGTTCAGATAGTTTTTTGGTGCTTTGATTACTAGCAGAAGACACTAACCAGTTTTAAATTCCAGTTGCGCAGATGGGGCACGCTGTAACACTGCGTTACAATGTGCTCTTCTATGACATTAGTGATGTAATTTACACCATTTTTTGAGGGTAAATAAAGAAAAACGTATACACTGTAATTATGAAACAAAGCGACATTTGTACTAGACAAGTGTAAAATTACTGTGGATAAAAAAATAAATATAAATTCTGAACCCCATGTGGATTTACACAAACTGAGAAAGTCAAAAAGTGTTACTTTGTGCCCCGCTCTCCCCTACCTCTGTAAATAAATACAATATAAATTCACATCTCGCGCACTTTAATGCCCTTTGAATGGAATGTGTACGTTTCCTTGGAACTGGAATCATTCGTTCGAGAGGGTTCCTTGAGCTGAAGAGATCCCCCGAATTTGGTGCGGATTCGCCGCGCTGTTACGGAGATATGGCCATTCAAAATTTCAATGGTTTTCCATTGAATTAAGCTTTAAAGAGTTTCATCCAGGTCGCCAGTAGCAAACAATGGAGCACGCTCTGCTGGACAAACTAAGTAATTACACCATTTCAAGAATTTTATCTGCATTAAATGCTCTGTAAAATAATCATTTCTTTGTGATTATTGGAGCTTGGCAGCCCCTGATCAATGAATGGAAAAAAGTCTTCATCAGTGTTCTACTGATGACGGATATTCACATAGCTTTGGAACAACACGAAGGTATCATGTGCTCATTCTAAAATGAATAATAACTCAGTAAGCTAATTGTTTATGTGTAAGTGAACAATATTAGAGAATGGTACTCTTCAGTGTGTCTGCAGTTTGCTGGTCAGCAGTGTCCGTGTAAATGACAAGCGGAGCTCTCATCACAGACTCGGGGCCTTTATCTGCTCTGAAACTCACAGTCAGCTCTGTAGGAATGATCAGCTCAGACTGCACACCCTACCGTGAGAGAAAAAGACATTTCTCATTACCAACAGAAAACACACAGAACTCACAATCAGATAAACACACAGAAATGCGTCTGAAGGAGATCAGCACTCACCGTTTTGAACAGACGTCCTTCGTATGGATGCGTGCCCTGTATTTTCACCATCTTGTCTGGTTTACTCCATTTCTCTGTTTGTGCATGTGTGGCTATCCCTGAAGTGTTTGTAGAATGACAAAGCACTGATAAAAATCTGGAAGATAAATTAAACCGTCAAAATTGAGACTGCTATGAGTAAAAGCATAATTATATCATAAAAATAGCTTAGTGTGATTTTCAAATAGCAAAAGCCTGCAATTTATTCTGTTGTAATGCATCACTGTGTTCATTTACACATGAGCCGCTTATGGTGTTTTGCAGTAAACTCTAGCTAGGGTTGACATTACTTTATTTTAATCAATCTTCTATTTGATGAACCAATATCGACTATTAAATCTCAAGAACAATCTTTTAGTCTGTGCGGTTTTCAGGTAATAGATAAGCAAAACCTTTCTAAACTTTATGTGTAGCATGTCTCCAATTCAATGATTTGAATGGGCTTTGTGCTTTGTTACTTTTGATTAGAAATAAAGTCTCAGCTTTCAAATTCTGTCATTTTAATACAAAATTGTGTTTGAAATCTGGTGTGACACTGTTTCAGTTCAGGTATGTTGAATCTCTGTTCCAACCATTAAAAGACATCAATAAAACAGCTTGTAAACAATATGTCATGCTGATGCAACATTATATTTACCTCAGGAAAGCCACTCAATATCCACAGCTATATATATATCCACAGCTATATATATATATATATATATATATATATATATATACATATATATATACATATACATATATATACACACAGTGCCCTCCATAAGTATTGGAACAGTAAAGACAAAATTGCTCTGTTTGCTGTGAACCATATGAGACAAAACTACAGAATGTCACATTTTATTATTGGGTGTTTCAACACACAGATGTTTTACTAGCTAAGAAGATCAGCAATTAGAGTTCATCCCACTATCTGATGTGAGCATAAGTATTGGGACAGTTGCCTCACAGGTCTTTCTTAGTGATCAGCTGTGTCCTGTTTCATTAATTCTTCAGATATTAAAAGCAAGGAATGTGTCATATCAGTTATATCCATTGCTTCTGCATTCTGAGTCTTGCATTCGATGACGACACACAAATGGCTTCTTCTCCTGCTATTGTTGTTTGCACCGCTTGCCACATGTATAGTTTATCTCTCTCTGTCGGCGACGAGGGATTCACATGTGATAAATGCAGGGAAATAGTTAGGCTGACAGAGAAGATTTCAGAATTAGAGACACGCATCCAAACTTTAATTGAGGACAGTAAGAATGTGAGGGCTCTAGATATTGCTTTGGATGCGACTAGCTCAGGGAGTCCTGTACATTGTTCGGTTCAGGTTACAGAGCCTCTGCAGCAGGGCGACTGTGAGGCGGCATCGTCACAGGTCAAAACACCGCTCTACCGTTCCGATCAAAACATTAAACAGGTTCTCCCCACTCAGTGGTGCACCCGCTGAGAAACCTGATCAAAGTGCTCTAGTTATTGGCGATTCTATTGTACGGAACGTGAAAATAGAGACACCAGCCACTATAGTCCAATATTATAATGGTGACAGAGATATGTAAGGGCATTTAACAATTTAACAATAAACTTGCGATGAGTGCGATGCACAAAGTAAAGGGGTGTTAGTTGTAACACCTGGTTTGAATATTTATTTTACTATAGTAACATTTAAATTCTGGCTTAAGTACATTTTTTTTATCTCTGTTTTTATTATTCATTTAAAATGAGACAAATCTGCTATTATTTTAATCTCCAATCTGTTATTTACCAGTTCAGATAGTTTTTTGATGCTTTGATTACTAGCAGAAGACACTAACCAGTTTTAAATTCCAGTTGCGCAGATGGGGCACGCTGTAACACTGCGTTACAATGTGCTCTTCTATGACATTAGTGATGTAATTTACACCATTTTTTGAGGGTAAATAAAGAAAAACGTATACACTGTAATTATGAAACAAAGCGACATTTGTACTAGACAAGTGTAAAATTACTGTGGATAAAAAAATAAATATAAATTCTGAACCCCATGTGGATTTACACAAACTGAGAAAGTCAAAAAGTGTTACTTTGTGCCCCGCTCTCCCCTACCTCTGTAAATAAATACAATATAAATTCACATCTCGCGCACTTTAATGCCCTTTGAATGGAATGTGTACGTTTCCTTGGAACTGGAATCATTCGTTCGAGAGGGTTCCTTGAGCTGAAGAGATCCCCCGAATTTGGTGCGGATTCGCCGCGCTGTTACGGAGATATGGCCATTCAAAATTTCAATGGTTTTCCATTGAATAAAGCTTTAAAGCGTTTCATCCAGGTCGCCAGTAGCAAACAATGGAGCACGCTCTGCTGGACAAACTAAGTAATTACACCATTTCAAGAATTTTATCTGCATTAAATGCTCTGTAAAATAATCATTTCTTTGTGATTATTGGAGCTTGGCAGCCCCTGATCAATGAATGGAAAAAAGTCTTCATCAGTGTTCTACTGATGACGGATATTCACATAGCTTTGGAACAACACGAAGGTATCATGTGCTCATTCTAAAATGAATAATAACTCAGTAAGCTAATTGTTTATGTGTAAGTGAACAATATTAGAGAATGGTACTCTTCAGTGTGTCTGCAGTTTGCTGGTCAGCAGTGTCCGTGTAAATGACAAGCGGAGCTCTCATCACAGACTCGGGGCCTTTATCTGCTCTGAAACTCACAGTCAGCTCTGTAGGAATGATCAGCTCAGACTGCACACCCTACCGTGAGAGAAAAAGACATTTCTCATTACCAACAGAAAACACACAGAACTCACAATCAGATAAACACACAGAAATGCGTCTGAAGGAGATCAGCACTCACCGTTTTGAACAGACGTCCTTCGTATGGATGCGTGCCCTGTATTTTCACCATCTTGTCTGGTTTACTCCATTTCTCTGTTTGTGCATGTGTGGCTATCCCTGAAGTGTTTGTAGAATGACAAAGCACTGATAAAAATCTGGAAGATAAATTAAACCGTCAAAATTGAGACTGCTATGAGTAAAAGCATAATTATATCATAAAAATAGCTTAGTGTGATTTTCAAATAGCAAAAGCCTGCAATTTATTCTGTTGTAATGCATCACTGTGTTCATTTACACATGAGCCGCTTATGGTGTTTTGCAGTAAACTCTAGCTAGGGTTGACATTACTTTATTTTAATCAATCTTCTATTTGATGAACCAATATCGACTATTAAATCTCAAGAACAATCTTTTAGTCTGTGCGGTTTTCAGGTAATAGATAAGCAAAACCTTTCTAAACTTTATGTGTAGCATGTCTCCAATTCAATGATTTGAATGGGCTTTGTGCTTTGTTACTTTTGATTAGAAATAAAGTCTCAGCTTTCAAATTCTGTCATTTTAATACAAAATTGTGTTTGAAATCTGGTGTGACACTGTTTCAGTTCAGGTATGTTGAATCTCTGTTCCAACCATTAAAAGACATCAATAAAACAGCTTGTAAACAATATGTCATGCTGATGCAACATTATATTTACCTCAGGAAAGCCACTCAATATCCACAGCTATATATATATCCACAGCTATATATATATATATATATATATATATATATATACATATATATATACATATACATATATATACACACAGTGCCCTCCATAAGTATTGGAACAGTAAAGACAAAATTGCTCTGTTTGCTGTGAACCATATGAGACAAAACTACAGAATGTCACATTTTATTATTGGGTGTTTCAACACACAGATGTTTTACTAGCTAAGAAGATCAGCAATTAGAGTTCATCCCACTATCTGATGTGAGCATAAGTATTGGGACAGTTGCCTCACAGGTCTTTCTTAGTGATCAGCTGTGTCCTGTTTCATTAATTCTTCAGATATTAAAAGCAAGGAATGTGTCATATCAGTTATATCCATTGCTTCTGCATTCTGAGTCTTGCATTCGATGACGACACACAAATGGCTTCTTCTCCTGCTATTGTTGTTTGCACCGCTTGCCACATGTATAGTTTATCTCTCTCTGTCGGCGACGAGGGATTCACATGTGATAAATGCAGGGAAATAGTTAGGCTGACAGAGAAGATTTCAGAATTAGAGACACGCATCCAAACTTTAATTGAGGACAGTAAGAATGTGAGGGCTCTAGATATTGCTTTGGATGCGACTAGCTCAGGGAGTCCTGTACATTGTTCGGTTCAGGTTACAGAGCCTCTGCAGCAGGGCGACTGTGAGGCGGCATCGTCACAGGTCAAAACACCGCTCTACCGTTCCGATCAAAACATTAAACAGGTTCTCCCCACTCAGTGGTGCACCCGCTGAGAAACCTGATCAAAGTGCTCTAGTTATTGGCGATTCTATTGTACGGAACGTGAAAATAGAGACACCAGCCACCATAGTCCAATGTTCACTGGGAGCCAGAGTACCTGACATCTTAGCAAATTTAAAAGTGCTGGCTAATGCTAAACGTAAATTCAGTAAGATTGTTATTCACGCCGGTGCTAATGATGTT